AAAATGTAAAGCTAGTATTTCATGCAAACATTATTATCAACAATAAAATATAATTATTAACATTGTTATTATTATTAACATTATCATTCTTATAAAAATTACAATTTCATCTTTTCATTCAAAGGACGACTTTCAATCCATACAGTGGGCTCTGAAGGTCAAAATTCCGTAAAATATTTGTTATTTTTGATACTAGTTAAAGCGCCCACTAATACGAACCAAAACCCTGTTCATATMGACCCTCTGTGAACCGTTATTTTAAAATGACCGACTCATCGACTTTGACTAATGGCAAGCCGCATTACGCTTTTCTGCAACAGCATGATTGAGCAAAGAATATCAACAAAACATAACCATGACCTTGGGAAGCTATGTATTACAAGCCTTGTATACTTTATAAAGGATGTGTTTATAYGAGGTACATTATGACGGCCAAGATAAGTTCTTGTTGGGTTGTTCTCCKTGAGGCTGTCGGTTACCTAGCATTCGATGGTCGGCCTAAAACTAAATTCTGTTCAGTCTTACGTCTTCCAGACTGTTCTCCAGCGGACTGCGCTGTTGGAACCTGAGGTAAACGACGTCGTGGTCTTCCACCAACTTGTTTATTTCTTGCGGGACCTTGATGTAAATTTGGATCTGAAGCAGTCTCGCGATTGTTGCCGGTATTGAAAGGCGCCGAACCAAAGGGATCATGCGCAGCATCGACTGAATCCAAACCAGGGTTATCAAAGCTTGCCTGGTTTGACACCCTGTCGTCACGTGACTTGTTGCTTATAGCAACGCTCTCTGACGTAGTACTAAACGATTCAAATTCGAAAGGATTCTTGGGAGATTCTCGTCCCGTTTCACCTCTACTGTCTTTGTGTGAGAATTGTAATCCAAAGGATATCAATTCTTCACCTCGCCTTGATTTATCAACGCTTATATCCTCCACGGCTTTACTTTCATTCCTATTAACTGCAAGTTCAAACGGCGCTGAACCAAAGACGTCAGGCGAGACAGGCTCTGCCTTTTTCGGCTTCGCATTCGGCAAACTGAAAGGAACAGCGCCAAAAGGGTCAGCGGTTCCAGGTGACAAAGGAGGCAATACCGCTCGCTGAAGTTGGCTCGGGCTGTCACGTCCACTGTCGCTTGAATCAGAGCTTACATCGACGTTAATCAGAGCGCTGTTTTGAAAAAATGGATTCGTGGCGATATCAGGTGGGAGTTCCCCGGGCGAGAGAACGTCGTTCACAGATTCTCCAGGCACAACGTCTCGTCTCGGGTTAAAACTTTGAGCATTAACATCACTTGGTTGTTTACTAGGTAGATTGTCTCTTAACGAAGCAAAGTCCAAATCGTCATCACATTGGTCAGGGTCTGTGGTGAAGTCACTGTCTTTAGCAGTGTAATAAGGACTAAACGGATTCCAGTTTTCTTTCTCTGGACCAACCGTATCAATTTCAATGAGTTTGTCCGTCGCTGGTTGACTAGTCTGCAGCTCTGGGTCACTAGGTGAACGATGAAATGGGTATTTCATGTCTAGCCCCATAGCGGCTCTAGGGTCCGACTTAGAGCGCATATGTGTAGGCTGCCATGGTTTTAAGTGTTCGTCACTCTTTGAAACAATATTTGCCCGTGGGACATGTGGTTGTTGCTGACTGCTCGAATCATTAAAATTTATAAATGGATTTTGTTCGATGTGACTTTGTACATACTGTGATTGTGATGGGTACTGGGAAGGATCCACGTTCTGATGATAGCCTTGGTGCTGGTGAAATTGCTGTTGTGCACGCTGTTGTTGTTGTTGTTGTAATAATAGTTGTTGATGCTGTTGTTGTTGTAACTGCCGCTCTCGTAACTGCTGTTGTCGTTGTAACTCTTGTTGTCTCTGTTGTTCTTGCTGTAGGAGTAATCTTTGCCGTTGGAGTTGTTGTTGTTGTTGT